CCCAGATGGGGCAGATCTTGCTATCTGAACGTGAAAGCTGGGGAATGTTGGCAGTCCTCTGTGACCTGGGAGCTGCCGGGAAGGCGAGGAGGGATGGAGGCTTTGCTGTCGGCTGGGCCGATTGCCCGGACTGCCCCCACTCTGGGTGGAGAAGGGGAGGGCTGTACCCACTCCAGGCAGGTTGGGGGGTGTCTGCTGCCCCCCACTCTGGATGGGGCAAGGAGTTGGCTGCCTTGGTTTTCCCTTCTGCAGAATAGGGGCAGTGGCAAATGCCCAGTGTGGCAAGGGGCTCCGCATCTGGGCCTGTTGTCCTGTGTCAGGCATTGTCCTCTGGACCTGCTCACACCCGGGCCCTGCCTTCTGAGCTGGAGATGGCCAGGGTGAGACTTCTGTAGCCAGTACTAAGGTCTGAGTCCTCTGTTGGGGTCACACATGAACCATACACCCACAAGGCACCCAGGAAAGTGTCTGCTTTCTTACTGGGTGCCCAGTAGATATGTGGACGTGCGCCCAGGGAGATGGGGAGGGCAGAGGTCCGAGGGACGCACAGCCACACTTCTCCTCCAGGGAATATGCTGTTACTGGGTTGGGGGCAGCTCACCATCATAGGCTGTGCATGGAGCTCTGGGCTGTTGGGCGGCGTCTGGTCTATGGCAGCTGCCGGGAGCTGGAAGTTGTAAGGAAGGATCTGCCCCTACAGCCTCCATAGAGGCCTTGTGGCTGCGTCTCTCCGGTCTCCACCTCCGTCTCCACACAGCCATCCTCCCTCCGTGCGTCTCTGTCTTCTCTTCTAATAGGAAACTAGTCATGTAGGGGAACCCTTGTGGCGCAGTGGTTAAGCGCTCAGCTGCTAACCAAAACGTCAGCAGTTTGAATCCACCAGGCGCTCCTTGGAAACCCATTGGGGCAGTTCTACCCTGTCCTATAGGGTTGCTACGAGTTGGAATCGACTCGACAACGGGTTTGGTTTTTTTGGCTTTGGTGGCATAACGGTTAAGTGCTTGGCTGCTAATCGAAAGGTCAGTGGTTTGAACCCAGCCAGCAGCTCTGTGGGGGAAAAAACCTGGCTGTCTACTCCCGTAAAGATGACAGCCTAGAAAACCCTATGGGGCAGTTCTCCTTTGTCACATGGGGTCTCTATGAGTCAGAACTGACTTGATGGCATGCCACCACAACCACACGTAGGATTAGGTCCACCCTGCTCCAGTATGAACTCATGTTAACTTAATTATATCTGCGAAGATCTTATTTCCAAACAAGGTCACACTCTGAGGTTCCAGGTGGACATGACTTTTGGGGGGACACTTTTCAACCTGGTACAGTCTCCAAGCCCCCAGTGAGGGAAGGGGCTAAGTTTCCCCTCAGCTCCAAGCAGTTCCTGGGTGCCGCCCCTGCCCCCTTC